GTATCGGCGGATTTTGTGAGTCGGCCTTTTCGTTTGCGTTTAACGCTATCTGTATCACTCAAACTGTTCCGGCTACAACTGCTTGCGGTCCTTCCGGAAAGCCTTCGGGTCCTGATACGTTTCGAGTCTTTCCTTCAGGATGTAGTCAGAGCTGGTGAAATCAGATTTTTTTTTTTTTTCCTGCGAGCAAAACCTCAGATCTCGTATATCATAATTACCCACAGAACTTGACCTAAACAGAAGCCAAAAAAAAGTTTACTGTATACATTACGTCCCATCGGAATAGCTATTGCTACATCGGAAAGTAAATGTTGGTATCTTTTGTCAATAAATAACTAGGCCTATAAGTGACACCACAAACATTCCCTGCAGAGGGGGACACACAGCGTCAAAATGTAAAAGTTACCTATGCCGTTACATCGAATGAGCAGTCCCAATGTTCACCCAAAAATATTTTCCACAAAATAATTTCGACATTCTAAGCAGCCCTCTTCCCGCCTATTATGTGATGTCTAATGTAATCTACGCAGTCTTAACCGCCCTCCTCCGCAACTACGGTTGCACTACAAAACGCCCAAAGCGTCTGACATTATTTTCACCAATTCGCGATGGCCGGTCTCGTTTATAAACGTTCACACATTGCTTCAAAACCATCGTCATATCTAACTGTATGTCAGAATATTGGCGAAGCATCAGCTCGCATAACTACGTTTGGTCTCTTACCTATAACCCTACGTTCTGGGGCGACGACCAATGTTGTCTTTGAAATACGGTATTCCGTAAAACACGTCGAATTTCGGTTTAAAAAGTGCTCGACTATGGAATTCGTCTTTTCAAACTACAATGCCTGCATTAGCTCCAGCCTCTTTTCTTAATACGACAATCAATATTGCTCGACGAACTTTCGAAAAAAAAGAAAGTGTCTGTATTCCGTCGTTATATCTGCTGCAGCGAACGCGGTGCCTTTGTTATACGATGTATCACCAGTGCTGACGTACGGCTCGATGATGTTAATACGCGTTTTGCATCGAAAGTATTCTGCTTTTTCCCATCTGCGTGTCCGATATGTGCACTATAAATCGCTTAAAACAGACAGACACCATGGGGATCCTCGTAGAGGGTTGGTGGTGTCACCGATATCTCGAAAAACGCAGTGCGTAGCGACTCATCGATAACCTCATTATCGCTTCTAAACCAATCAGATTGCGGCATTGGCCAATCAGAACGCCAAAGAGCCAATCAGAAAGCGAAGAGCGCGAACATGAGCCACGCCCTTGCTGACTATAAGGAGCGCAAGTTCGTCTGCTCCTTGTACCAGGGGTTGCGATGATGTCAGAAAGCGGAGCTCTTACTGGCTGATAAAAAGAAAAAGAAAGTAGTGGCTAGACCTCAAGGAGCTCTTACTGGCTGATAAAAAAAAATAGTGGGTAGATCTCAAGCCATTTAGCATGCAGACATACCCACTATCCTTTCAATCAAAGCCAATTAGAGCTCGGCTACGTTCCGAAGTCACCGCAGCTCCCGCGAGAAGCAGACGACTTGCTCTCCCCATACAGCACGTAAAAATGTTGCGATTCGACCGGAAAAGTGTAAATAAGAGAGGAAAAGAACAATCTAGAGATACAGCTAGAAACCAGTAAAGAAAGAGGGTGGATGTCGTATATACCGTATATATCTAAAAATTGTAGAGCGGTCGCAACAAAAAGATCAAGGTCGAGATCTATATGGTAGTGGACGGCAGGAACTGACGATGTCATCCCTGAGGTCGACGGCCGATCGATTCGTTAATTTTCTTTGACAGACGGTGGACCGGCGGCACCTCGTATGAGACGGGGGCCGTACACCCCCCTTTAATATGGGAAGGTGATGAAGGGGTGACAAAGAAAAACGATCATGCAGCGACGCGTTCGTGGCTGATGCATCAATTTCTGCTCGATGACGGCACTGACTTGGCGTTACGAATTGCTTTATATAGTACAGTAGTCGCGTTGCGAACTGGCTTTATGATTTAGTGACTCTGTAGGAGAGTGAAATATCGTTATAAACGGAACGTCTTCTTTTTTAAAAAAATAACCTACACCTTTTTTTTTACGGGGAAATTGTTGTTGTCCGGCTTTTTTGACAAAAATAAATTTCTGCTAAAAAAATTTTAACCGTGGCACTTTTTGACAGTCATGGCAAGGAGTAAAAAAAAATAAAGACACAAAAAGTAAGAAAAAAAGGAAGATAAACTACAAAAGGCGAAAGAGCTGTTTAGGAACACGTCCTTTTTAAGCTAATGATAAAAAAATAAAATTAAAATTTTTCTCGTTCGTGTGAAGAAACGAGAGCCAGTTCGCACGAACCATATCGCGTCACATTTATTTTATTTTTTTTTTCGAGGGGGGGGGGGGGGGGGGTACCGCTTTCGTGATTTTCCACACGCAGCGCACGTACCGCTCCACCTCCTCTTTTCCTTACCCCCGTTCGAAACGTTTTTCTCGCTCTTCGCGCGAGGCAACCGAAAAGAAGTCGTCGCTCGCAAAAGAAAAGAAAAAAATCCGGTTCAATTCGGGTCCGGGGTTCAAAGCCGACACCGAGCCGGCTCTTGCATCGACCCGGCGCCGCCGCTTTGCCGGGACCCGGGCGGGGAGCTCGGCCGACCGAGTCGCTCGGGAGGCCGACGGGCTCCCCTTTCGACGCGAGGGCGACGCGAAGGCAACGCGATAGGCTCCTCGGGACAGGGCTCGCGTCCCTCGCCGGATCCTCAACGCAACGCCTGATAGACCTTAAGAAATCTGGAGCGCCTGCTTTACCGCAAAACACTCGGAAGAGTCGATCGCTGTAATTTCAACCCCGTCAGCCCAGCGGTGGACAAAGCTGAAAACGTGTTTCGACCTAAGAAGACAGTCTGTGCTGTGGGCACTGACCATGATGTTTCGTCATGCTCAGTGCGTGCTTTTTCCTGGGTTTGAACATAATTTTGGCGCCGTCATTCCATTCACCAAGATCTCTCCCCGTAAAGTGTGTGGATGGGTTTTCACCAAATGCTTTGCTGGCAACGTAGACACTCCGGATTTCTTAGTGTGCAAGAGGAATGCTTGAGGATTCGTGCCCCGGAGCTCGGGGGAGGTCCGCCGCCGCCGCAGACGCAGACGCGGCTCCAACGTCATACCTGATAAGGTTCTGTGTTTTCGGTCTATACACCAATAAACTGCAAAAAACAACTCCCGAGCTGTTTTCTTTTAATGAAAGTCGCGGGGGGGGGGGGGGGGGGGGGCGGGGGTGAAGGAATTAAAACCCCCAGTTGAAGCTCTCCTTTATATCGAGAAACCCAAGCTTCCCGGGAAAAGTGGAAAATCTTTATTTGCAGCTTTACTTTGCTTTGAACCGTGATACAAACCTCCACCAAACTGTACGTTCCCAAGAGAAGAGAGAGAGGCAAGATAGACGAATGTTCGGGAGATTTCGGTGTCTATTTGCAAGGCTGATTCTTGCTTCAGGAACACCCCCCCCCCCCCTCTTTCATATCTTATTTTGTGTCTTATCGCTACCCGAACGTTTTCCAAGTATTAGCGTAGCGGGCATGTTCACTGCACGTGAGGGAATTCCATGCCCCTTTCCTGTATCCTTCCAGATAGGCCAGGATGAATACTGATTATTTTTTTACCCAACACACACACAAAACAAAAAAGCCGAATCTCTGGGGAAACGAAATAAAATACCGAAAAACCACCCCCAATATTGATTGGAAAGAAAAAAAATACCGAAAACACGAAACCCTATTTCGAGACCATACTCATTACGCGCGCGGGTTACGCGTTTATCTGTTAGCACGGATCGAATGCCCTTACGGCTTCTCTTTTTCGCCACTAATAGGAAAAGGCGGGGGTTAATGCGTTTGATGGAAGAATTTTACGACGAGGAGTTTTCTAGCGGAGTGAGTCTCCGTAACGCTGCAGCCAACGCGCGCCTCAAAGCAAGCTTTGAGGAGGCGGCGGGATCTGAACCGTAGGAAAAATCGAACGAATCAAAATTCCTTTTACGTTGAGATGGGAAAGCAATGGTCTTTTTTACGCGTTTGATTGACTGGTTCGGAGTAACAGATTACATTGCGAAATTTAAGGTCCCTGTCAGAATCCAAAGCAATGCGGAAAACACACGGACATCTTCGCTGTGACGGAGGAGAGGACGCCTCGGGGGAGTTCAGGGAAGAGCGGGTTTAGAGCGGGAGTTCTCCCGACTGAAGATTGCCGCACCGTCTTCCGAATCGGGAAGCTCGTGGGGAGAGCCGCGGCTTGCTCCACGCTGGAACCAAGGGCGCGCCGCGGAGCGCTGCCTAGACGGGACTCCCCGCCGGCCGGCCGGTCCGCGTTCCTGAGACCTCGCACCCTTTCGTTCCAACCGGGGTTGTCGACTAGGGGAGGGGTCGAGGGTGTCGGGTGGCTAACAGACCATGGTCGCCGACCCCCGCGCGACGTCGACACCCCGCGGCACGGCCGGGATTCCGAACCGGGGGAAATCGCGTACAATCGATCCGAGCGCGCCAAGCGGCACCCATTCGGGGGCCGCGTGTCTGGGACGCCCGACGCGAAGGGGTCGCGTTCCGCAACCCGCGAGAGGGGGACCCGTTGGCGGGGGGGGAGCGCGGCGCGGGTTTTCGGGAAATTCCGGCGGCGGGACCCCCCGCGGATTTTCCTCGGGGCGGCCGTGGGGTCCGAGCACGTGGCCCGGCGGGTCAGGCTGCGTTGCCTGGGCGGCCGAGAAGCACGGGGGGTGGTCCGCGGGGGTCGCGACGGCCCTCGGGAGGGAGGGTCCAGGTCCCCGACGGCCTCGCGCGGGATCGATGCGTCCCGCGACCGCGCGCGCTCGGGTCGGCGGGGAGCGCCCGACGGGTCGGACCGGGGGCCCAACGCGACGGCGGCGGCGGCGCGCGGGCGTCGCCGACGGTCAATGGCGCGGTCCTCGGGCGTTAGGCCTAGCGGCTAGGCCTGTCCCGTGGGGTGCTCGGGGGCGCTCACCTGGCGCGAGCCGCAGGGCCAGGAGCAGGATCGTGCAGGCGGCGGTCATGGCTGGCCGGGGGAGACGCGGCCCAGCCCGGGCGACATGGCGGCGCTTAGGCGTTCGAGGAGGCCCCGGGGAAGCGGAGCGGGGGGGCCCCGCCGGGGCCCGGCGCCCGGCTCCCGCCGCTGCTGCGCCCATGGCTCGGCCCCATGGCCCTCACCGCGCTCCGCACATCGGCCGGGGAACGCCGGGGGGCTCGCTGCTCTGCTCCTCCGCTGCGCCGTCTCCTGCGGGGGGCTGTGCGACGCTCGCTGCGGGCTCCTCCGCCGACGCTTCCGCCTGCCTGACGCGGACCCCCGTCTGCCGATGGCCGCCTGCGCGCGCACTGCCATCGACCGGGCACCAGCAGCGCCGCCGGTGAAGCCTCGCGCGCAGCAGCGCCGACGCCCCGGACGCCAGTCGCCCGGACCCCAGGCAGGAGATGCCGCGGACGGCCCGCCACCGCGGCCTCGCTCGGGCCCGCGCGTGCCCTCGGACCTCGATTGATCGGAGGGGGACCCATTCATCGCCGCCGCAGCGTTTCACGCCTAAACGCGTCGCCCGTCAACTGGCCATTGAGCGGACCCGCATACCGCGGCACCTTCTTCCCGTGCGCGCCGATCCATCAGGCGGCACCAGTCTCGCCGCACCACTCCCGTCGCGCCCCTTTTTCACTCGGACGGGCCCCGGTGTCGGGCCTCTCTCTTTCTGGCAGGTCACTCTGTCGGACTAAACTTCCGGTTAGGTCAGGTATTTTTTTAATATTTCGAGAACGGCCTCTTTCCCTGGTTCCCAGCGCTCCCCATCTCATGAGCTGCTCTCCAATCGTACCCTACACTTTTTCACCATAAGTAACACCCCGGTCAAATGCTAGAAGGCGGACAGTTTCTAACAATATGAAAGATCCATTCGATGAGACAGGAGGTTGTGCTTACTCGACACCACCTAGAATAATCAAAGCCCGGGCATTTTTGACGTTATCACAATGAGCGCAGACACAAACTGGACACTAATGCTGCTCAGCATTTGACTGCGCGTCCAGTGAATGCGTCAAAAGATGCTTGGTGTAGGACTCGGGCCCAGTCACTGACTTGGCGCCATCCGAGTCTGAGGACGTCACATGGAGGTTAAGGCTTTGAATATTCTAGGTGGTGTTGGCTGAGTTCACTTTTTCCAGGTGCACATTAATAAGGGTGGAAGAAAATATCATTCTTTGGTACGCTGTCCCTTTTAAAATAAAGTCCATCTCACCAAAGTGTATTGAGATCCGCCACATCAAAGATCTATAGCGAATGGGTCTTTGATGTGGGAGACTGTACAGAGAAACGCAAACTAAAATTCTAAGTTCATGGTGCATTCACTCCGCTTGGCTGGTTTATCCGGTTATGGGGGACACGCGAAAAGATGACAAATGCCGTGACGCTGAATGTTTGGCCCTCTTTGATCGGCCCCATCCGCTCGTAGCGTCGGTTGAGCTGTAAATAGGAATATTTAGTAAGCCGTTTTCATATTAATAGTTCGTCCCATAAACAAATTTGCACACGCCGGTTGTTTCCTGAGTCCTTTTGAAGCGATCGATTCGTCCCTGAAGGAGCTTGGGAAAGGTTCATCTGAATTGTTATGATTTGCGGCACCGGTCTAGTGCGAGTGTAAAAGACCCAGAGATTCTCAACAGGGCACAATGGAGCAGGACGAGCTTGGACGAGTGGTGGAAGCCACATCTCAAGGCGGTCCAAAAGATGCCGCTGTGGTTTCGTTTTAAGTTAGAAATGTTCGTCTAGGCGCCATTCGCCGACCTCTGAAAGAACCGAGTCTGAATGTCGTCGCTGAAAAAACAGCGCTTCAGTCACCTTGCGTTCCATTGAACTTGTCTCTTTCAAAACTACGCCCACTTAAAATACAACACGACGGCATGCGCCAAGAACATAATCAGGCTCGGAAATTCATACTTTTACTTCATACTTCACTTTTACTTTCAAGCATTGGCATGTACTTCTCGAAGTCCATGCTTGGCGGTGTTGGACGTTTATTTTCAAAGCTCTTGAAGGAAAGCGTTTTATTTAAGATTTAGTTTGTACGCTGGCGTGCCGCCAGACATTTTTAGCATAACAAAGCAAGACAACAGAAACCAAAAACAAAAAAACAGCAACTCGGTAATGACCTACAAAGCGGTAGTTTTTACCAGTTTATTGAAATTCACCGCCTGGAATCGTGGTCCCGTGATGGTGATCATCGGTCCGAGAATGCCAAACGGAAGATGGTGAACCGTTTTCAGGACAGCATACGCGGATGCGTAGACGAAAATTTCTTAGGTGAACCTTTCGCTTTGAAACAATGCATCCGTTTTTTCATTGGACCGCCTTAAGGTTTGCGATGAACGGCGTATTTACGTTGGTCCTTCTTGGTCCCCCTCCATCCGCCATGTTGAAAGGTTTTTCTTCCTCGTTTACTCCGGTTCACATGACTACCCCCTTCCAAGGTTCGATCGTTGCACAGATACGAAAGGTTCTTGGCACCTCATCGCAACCGCCATGGATACCAACGACCGACAAGGACAAGTCACTTAACCAGCCGACATGTCAAGCGACCCTTGGACGCCCCCGAACAGGGGTTTTCAAGGGTCAGAAGATGCATACCGGAGGCGGAGCGGCTAAACGCACCGCCGCTCTCGCCCAAGCGATCCAAGAAAGCATTGAAAGCCAGGCATCCTCGACCGCCGTCTTAAAACGGAACAGCGTCATGGACGCAGGATACTTCCTGACGCGCGCTACCAACAAGGGTTGGGTCAAGACCTGCATGGCTAACCAAACATTCCTTAGACAATGCTTGGAGCAGCGAGAGAAACTCCTATCACTCCTCTCAAACAACGAAAAGAACAATGGCTTCAAAGAAAACCATACCGAAATGACACCTCTTTGTGACGAAATCTCTGCCATCCACGAAAAAGTCTTTCCTACTCTTGCAAGTAGCTCGCACCAAACACGCGAAGACCAACGTGGCCCCATCATGCACGATAAGAACGACGATGGCTGGCAGACAGTGCAACGAAAGCGAAAACACAACCAGGCGGCAGCAGGCCAGTTGGAGACTTTCGAAAGAAAAGTTGCAAAACCACCAACCCAGACGGTTGTTCTCCACCCTGTGTGCAAAGGTAACATCAAGGACTGCTCGACAAAGTAACTCCGCACCGCCATCCAGAAGGTCGGGGTAAACAACTTCGACGAGTTCACCTTGCACTGACACAGAAGAGCGAACACATTGTCATCACCACTAGGAACAGCTCACTGGTTTCCAAGTTCCTGGGGATACGGAAATCCCATACTAACAACATGGCCCACTAGCTGTGCAACCCTACAAGGCGATAAGCTCAAACGAAGTGCGAGGGATGGTATACCTTAATTCAGCACATGATGACCCAGCGACTTTCGTAAACAAGCTCAGGTGCAACACGCACAAGATTGTCGCTGCACGAGCCCTGGACATCAAGCAAGAGACCATTCTCGTTACCTTCGAAGGCAAAACAGTGCCCCGGCATGTCCGCTACGTCTTTGAGGTCTACAAGGTGTAAGAATACAGGCCAAGACCACTGGTCTGCTACGGGTGTCACCAACTCGGCCACAAGTCCGACGTATGCCCGTTAAAGATCAAACGATGCGGATCGTGCGGACATGAACATGGAGAAGTTGAGGAATGCCAGGCCACACCCAGGTCCGTGAACTGCGAAAGACCGCACATTGTCACGAGCAACGCGTGTCCGAAAAAAAAAAAACTTCCACCGAGAGACAACACGCGAAGAAATAACCAAAGTAAGAGATCTGCCACAAGGGGAGGTATGAACTCGAAGTTCTCGCTAAGTGTGCTATAACAGAGATCTTCAAGACCGACGAAGACTCTCTCGGACAATGCGTGGGCTAACATAGTAACACTGCATCAACAAGAAACCGATCTGGCACACTCCACAACCTCAACTCCACCGGAAAACGCGCAACAACGGCAGCCGGGGGAACAGAGCCAGACCTCACTCCTTTCAGATATTCGAACAAGGACCCAACTCGATTGGAAAGCAAGGTTAGAGGCACTGAGCCGAAGGGTTGAGCAGTTTCGCCAACGTCCACACCAACACGAGCCGAACAGAGCATTTAGAATCTCTAGCAATTTAAATCCTCACCAAGGTGAACTACATCGGATTAGAGGGTCGACAAATACCTCACTGTCTAACACCCACCCGAGAAAATATGAAACCGGACGGCTTAAACTACCAAGCTACGAAGGTACACGCTCGGATTTTCCATTGGGATTGTAGAGGCTTTGCAAACGAAGCTGCGGAGCTCAAACTTCGACTCCAAAGAATGGGAAAGAGAATACCAGCAGTATTTTTCCTCCAGGAAACCAACCACGAAAACGTCAAACTTAACGGATACAAAACGTACACAGCACCCTCCATGACGAGAACGATCCACCACAGGAATGACAAAGATGCAGTGACAGCGATCGTCGGGCAGTAGGCCATTTCAGTTCAGGAACAAGTTCCACACGCGCGTATAGAATCGGCACACCTGTGCAATGAAGCAAGAGAGGTAGTTGCTGTGCAGATAAATTAAGCACAAAAAAAAGCCTCTCATAATTGCTTCAACCTGCATCTGAGCTAACATCAAAAACGAAGATGACATGAGCTGGCTCACGCACCTCAGACCCAATAAAGAACTACTCATAATCAGCGGATATTTCAACGCTCAGCATGAGTACTGGGGCTATACCCGCACACCAGCTCGAGGCAAGACACTAAAGTGCAATGTGAAGGCTTTTGGATTAGTACTAATAAACCAACCCGGCATACCAAAGAGGATCGGACTTCATGCAAAACAAGGAGACGCGACGCCCGACCTCACTTGGGCAAGCAAGAATACCAAACTCCCCTGGAAAACGTTTCCATAGGCGATGGGCAGTGATTATCTGCCGATCAGGATCTGGCTCCCTACCAAAGGCACCGGAGACGAAACGCACCCTTCATTCGATGTGACATGTTTTGCGAGACCATCAAAAAGGTCCCTTCCTTACTCACCCTCGTTCATAACATCCAACTGGCAGACAAGGCGGCGACGAGGACCTACCAAGTCGAAGAAGACACTCCCAACCTAGACATACATTTGCTGAACCTTTGGGCAAGCAGACTCCAAGCGCAGCGATAGCGATATAGAAAAGCATAACATTTGATACAAAATACAACTAAACATCGCCACGGCTGAGTTAAACATTATACAAAGAAGAGCAAATCTGGAGACGGCGCTGCAATTCGTTCAATTAAAAAACCGGCATTAAAAGAATGTGGCGGACATACAAATGCGTGTCCGG